ATACGTAATTAAAGAGTTGAGTTACGCGAACGTATACTCTTTTCTTTTGACGCGTCAAAAATCATGTCACGCGAACGTGTCCACAATTAATAATGCTTTGTTATTAATTTACAGTAACGGGTTAAACTCAACATTGAGCCCGTCCATTAGCACAGCGTGTGACTGAGTTCACCCTTTATGATTCTAGAAGAATTTTGGATTCTAGAGTAAACCCAACAATACTGAATATGGGCCACAGAGAAAAAGCCAACATAAACACATTTCAGAAGTCTTGTATATCTACTCAAGCAAATAATTATAGAGAACTGACAATCTATAACATGAAGTACGTGATTTACGAATCTCAAAACAATTCCATGTGCCCATTGCATTTCAGTGGAAGCAGCAAAAGGCCGTGTGAGTTCATTCTTCCAAATGACTCTTAATTTACAATGAAATAGCCATGGGCAATCCTTATAAGTAAATCGGCTATAGGCAGTGAATAAACAAACATGCCACCAATTAGAGTTAGTTCATCCTATTGAAATCATTTTGCATGAATCCTTACTCTCAAGAAATAAATGTCATCCCAGCAGACATCGAATTGTTCATCAAGACTTAACAAATTCCGGAATCAGGTTCTTTGCACACAAATAGCTTTCGAAATTAGCAGGGATTGAATTTAGACCCAAATTCACAAGAGTTAGTCATTGTGAAGCTGGCCCCCAAGCTGGCCCAATTTAGAATTTAAGGCAAGACTAACTCTTTTAAGCCTGGCCCAATAAACCCTCCCCTCCATTAAAACTACAAAAATCTTAACCTAGAGATCAGATTTTGGAGAGATCCTATTTTCCATCACCTAGCAGCGGCGCTCTTGAACAAAAAACCAGAACGAGCATCCCTTCCATATTATCTTCTCTTTCCCGACCTCCCTCCTTCGATTTCCACGGGAGAATACACTCACAACCACACTCACACGGAGACGAAGACTCACTCACTCGCGATTTGAACATAAACGGATGAAACAAAGCTGAGAATTCCGAGTGAAGATCTGAAAAACCACAAAGTTTGATAAACAAAAGAAGAGCTGAAATTTGTGAAAGAATATTAAAGAAAAATTGATTTCGAAATTCAATCTCTGCCATTTCTGGGTGTTCGAGTTTGGTGTCGAACTCGGAAGTTGAAGTTGCGATCTGCTATTCATCGTTGCACAGCTCCAACCAGTCGTTTTCTTTGCCTTTGTTTGGGTTTATATTTAAATCCTCGTGCAATTAGGTATGTATTCCTTAAAACGTTTTTTTTCGGATTTGCCTTGATATGGAAGTGGTTACTCTCTAGCTCATCTGTTATTTTACTTGAAGCTATGGTTGTTTTCAATTTCATCCGTTGTTGCTATTAGAACCTACCTATCTGATTTAGTTTCAGCAGTGAAATAAATGCCTGTTAAACTCAACTAGATTAAAATTGTTGATTGAGTTTGATTTTCCTAAAAGAGATAAAAGAGAGATCTGTTGGAAACTACAGCTTGTTTCTCTTCATTTTTTTTTGGGGTTTCAAACATCATTTGAGTTGGATCTGTTGTTGTTTGCTAAATTGGTATCAGGAACTCTAATGCGTAGAATTAAGCCTTCATTGGTTGCCTTTTCTTCTAAATTCAATCCCTGCTAATTTCGAAAGCTATTTGTGTGCAAAGAACCTGATTCCGGAATTTGTTAAGTCTTGATGAACAATTCGATGTCTGCTGGGATGACATTTATTTCTTGAGAGTAAGGATTCATGCAAAATGATTTCAATAGGATGAACTAACTCTAATTGGTGGCATGTTTGTTTATTCACTGCCTATAGCCGATTTACTTATAAGGATTGCCCATGGCTATTTCATTGTAAATTAAGAGTCATTTGGAAGAATGAACTCACACGGCCTTTTGCTGCTTCCACTGAAATGCAATGGGCACATGGAATTGTTTTGAGATTCGTAAATCACGTACTTCATGTTATAGATTGTCAGTTCTCTATAATTATTTGCTTGAGTAGATATACAAGACTTCTGAAATGTGTTTATGTTGGCTTTTTCTCTGTGGCCCATATTCAGTATTGTTGGGTTTACTCTAGAATCCAAAATTCTTCTAGAATCATAAAGGGTGAACTCAGTCACACGCTGTGCTAATGGACGGGCTCAATGTTGAGTTTAACCCGTTACTGTAAATTAATAACAAAGCATTATTAATTGTGGACACGTTCGCGTGACATGATTTTTGACGCGTCAAAAGAAAAGAGTATACGTTCCCGTAACTCAACTCTTTAATTACGATAAAT